TTTTTTAAAACTTAAAAAAAAATAAAAAAAAAAAAGAAAAGAAAAGTAAAACTTAACGTCAAATATTCATTGCAATTATGATAATAGCACAACACTGTATTCTCAGATGCAAAATGTTATCAAATAATTATAACCGCTCTAAAGAATTTCTCAAAATAACCATGTAAATTTTTTTTTTAAATTTCATTATTTTATTCCAAATCAAGATTCATATGTCATTACTTTATTAATTTTTTAATTGTCATTGTCGTAATGTTTCTTGTTATACAGAATTATACTTCATTGATAAGATACGTTAACAGTATGGAAAATTTAGTTGTCATTAAACTTATCAATGTATATTTGAATAATAACATTTTGCTATCTAAAACTCTATACATAATACTGATGAAATAAATTTATTAAAGTGTAAAACTGATTTTGGAATATATTATTGTTATGTTGAAAACATTGATATAAACACTTCATTAAATTAATTCTAATTTTTTTCATTTGGATTACAAAACATAAAAAAAATAAAATCAATTATGACCACTACAAATACTTCGAGTAACAATGCTGATAATCAAAAAGTTAGTATTCATTTGTTCTTTTTTCTTTTTTGTTATATTTATTTGAAAAGAAATTAATTAACAAATATTTTGTATTACAAATTCTAAATCGAATTAATTGCCTTATAAATAACTTTAAATTTTACTAAGTATTTTATACTTAAAATATTAAAACATTTAAAGTATGAAGAAGGCGTACGTCAAGCAAATGAAGCATTACGTGATTTGATGGAACTTGTTAACATGCCCGATTTTGAAGATCATGATGGTTGGAAGCAAAAAATTGCGCATAAAAATGATATTGTTTATTCAAAACGCTATAAAATGGGAAAAATTTTCACAATGCGGGTAATTTATTATTTAATTACCACATTTTAATTATTATACCCTAAAATAAAACACAAAAGTTGGATATGGTTTTTGGCAATAATTTGAAAATTTAAAATTTTTGTTTGTTTGTTTTTTTTTTCTAAGGCATCGTATAATTGTTTATTTCTAAAAAAAAAAATTATTTTTTTTTTTTTTGAATTAGACAATTTGGTATGATTTTTCTTTTTTTGGCTTTTACTTTCAGACTATCTTTAATTTTCCCTTACAACAAGCATTTGTGGAACATTGGGAAAATTTTGTCGATATTTCCCATAGCAATAAAAATATCTCAAATGTGAAGATTGTTGCTGATCTATCATCCAATACAGATATTGTTTATGTAAATAATTTTTAAAAATCTTTAAAATCATTTTGAAAAAAAAGTGTAGAACTTTGAATTTCAAAAAAAAAGAAAAGATTAATTAAACTTAAAGATTAAAGATTGATAAAAAAAAAAAAGAAATTTATGCAATATGATAAAATATAAACAAATACATTTTATGCATTTTTCATTAAGCGTTTCAAGTTTTAATTTTCTCTTCCTAAATTATATCATTTTTAGTATGCTATCAATGATATTTCAAGCATCAAAGGACGTGAATTTTTGATGTGTCGCACATTTCGTCGTATTGATAACGAAATTATCGAAGCTGCTCGGAGCTTTGATCTCCCTGATTTTGAATATAATCCGCAGAAAATACGGTTATTTATGTTTGAGTGAAAAATGTTCACTTTTTTTTTCATCAAGATTTATTTTAGGAAAATTTAATAATTTATTAATAAATTAAAAAAAGTAAGTCAGAAACAAAATTTTTGATAATTTCAGGTGGTTTTAAAATTTATATTATTAATCTTTTTAATAAACTTAAATTCAATCTGATCGGGTAATTTAATTTAATTCAGCAACTTTTATAATTTATTTCCAATTTAGTTTTTAATAATTTACCAATTTAATCTATCAATAATTTATCTGATAATTTTGCTATAAAACATAATTTTAAATTTATATCACCTATCTTTTTAACAAATTTAAATTAATTTCGTTTTTATCATAAATCTCATTTTTATGCTTGTAGGAAAAAAAAAAAGCACTCTAATTTGACAATTTTTATCATTCAGCATAATTTGTAATTGCCAATTGTAATATGATAACTGTGTATTATCAAAACTTTTATCAATTCTAGTGGACATATTATACTTGGTGGTGGACGTTTTCGAATTCATCCCAAAGATTCCACAAAAACAATCGTCGACTATGTGATGTGCGTGGATTTTAAAGGCCCAGATATACCAAAAGTAATTATGGATGCAACGTTAAGCATGCTAATTATACAAGATGCCGAATCGATACGAAAACAAATCGAAAAGCTTAGACGTGAAGCTACATGATTTACAGTAAAATTTTGTCAAATAATTTCAATCCTTCATTTATACCATTTTCACATTATCATTTTAATGAAAAAACAAGAAATGACAAACAGATAAACAAACAAACGGATGAACAAACAAACAATAAACAAACAAACAGACAAACAAACAAACAAATAAATAAACAGACAGATAAACAAACAAACGGATAAACAAACAGACAGATAAACAAACAAACAGATAAACAAACAAACAGATAAACAAACAAACATGCGAAACAAGCAATCAAACAAACAGACAGATGAATTTTATAAATAAATTTTGAATAAAAAATTTCTCTATGTTCCGTGTTTAACGTTTGAAATGTATTCAAATATCAATCTAAGACTATAATTATCAATGGAGTGATCGATCATTTATGTCCACTTTTTTTTCTGTTAACTTAACTGTGTACCTTTCAGGCCAAGGTAAAAATTCCAGGCTTAGGTAAAAACATTCACTATACCAATCATTAATTCGCTTAAATTACTTAACATTAAAATGAATAAGCGCTATTAAATATTATAATATTATTTATCGGATATATATCATACGATTCAAATATTTTGATTAACTAAATCGATTATTTTGTACTAAAATACTGAGGGATATTTTTACTTTTGAGATATAATATTTTTTATTTTTGGAAATACATTTTGAGATATATTTATCATTTATTAAAATAAAAAGAGAAATTTTAAATAATCTTAAATTGCTTATTTCTTCAGCTTTTTTTTAAATTACTTTTTCTAATAATTTTTTTTATAATTTCGTGCAAAATTTTTTAATATTTAAAAAGAAAAACTTTTTTTTTTTAGTTTCAACTTTTAATGACATTACTTCCTTCTCTTTATAATTTTAAAAATTCTTACACGAAATTTTTCAGCCAATATATCATCGACATTTATCATAATAGGTATAGCTATATTCATTATAATTGCACTTACTTTGTCATATTTATCTGTCAATTTGTTTTATTACACAAATAAAAATGTTGTTTATTGTCGTATATCAGGAAGCATGTCATGCAAATGATAATGTATTCGTTGAATACATCAATTAACTAATTAATCAGTCGATTAATTAGACAAGTCAATTAGCATTCAACTTTAAACTTTAATATTAACACTTTAAAATATCAATTATTGTTATCAATTTCTTGAAGTGAAAAATATTAATTGTTATTAATCAAATGCAGTCAGAACTTTTTTTTTTTTTTTCTGGTCGTTTGTTAAGATGAATAATTAGTCATTTTCAATCTTTGATTGTAATTAAATAGTTTTTTCTTTGTCTTTCCTTTTCTTTTTCGTAATAAAGGAAACTTTTACTTTTTTTTTAAGTTAAGGTATGATAATGAAGTAAACAAGATTTTATATCTTGATATAAAAATTTTAAAATAACATTTAAATCAATGGTATTAGATTAAATGAGATATGAATTGACAGTTGACATCCGATTGTTATTTTTGCAGGTTGTACATACATGTTCAATAAACATATAACTGAGTACACAATCTGAATAAATTCAACATTTCAAAAAATTTATAGTAAATTCATAATAGTTTCTCGATAATACTTAAAGTATTTTCAAAAGAATTGATTTCACCTCCTTGTAAGGATTTAAGATGATATCGAAATTCTGGTAGAAATCGTTTCTTGCAATTAAGATTTATTTATTAAATGAATGAATATTAGTTAAAATAGAAAATTTAAAAAAAAAGATTTTTCTTATAAGACGTAGAAAAGTATCATAGTTTTTTTTTTTTAACAAATATCACAAAATAATATTACTAATTAATGAATAAAATATATAATAGAATAAAAAAAGAAAAAACAGAATGAAATTTCTGGGAGTTAGTTGAATATCTAACCGAGACTGTGGATAACATAAGGGAAAGAATTTAATTACTATTCGATACCGTATTTTCAAAATATTCGTTTTTTCTTTTTTTTTTGTGTTAGTGATACCATATTGTAACTGCAATTGCAATAACAGTATGCCAAAAACAAATCAGCTATATAAATAATGAGCAAAATTTTTAAAGAATTAATTGTATTCGTATTAATTCCTTCATCATAATTATACCATTTAATGTTTATAAATGACAATATCGATTAACTTTAATCTTTTAAATACATAAAATATTTCCTGAAAAAAATCTTAAGTAGTATTTTCTGCTATAATTTCAAGTAATCATATCTGTTGGATAATTTTAATTAATTTTCATCATTATTATTAGTTTACATTTACTTTTTCTGCTTGTCCTATTTTTAAAATAATTATTTACAAAAATATTTTACTGTAAACAAGGATTGTTTCTTGCATTTTCGTTATTCATTTTTATAAATATCAAAAAAGATTAATTGTTTGTGATTTTCACAAAGGCTTTCTTTTGAAAAAAAGAATTTAAGTGTTATAGAAATATTTGTAAAACATAAATATTTCACAAATATTTATTATAATGCATCGTTCAACAAATACTGGCATAAAAACTTGACTTTAAAATTGTTCAAAATTTATATTTAAAGGAAATAAAATTAATTGATGGAGTAAAATGCAGTGATAAAACTTAGCTGATAAAATTAATGAATAATGCAAAAATATTTAGCTTCATTTTTGCAACTATTATACAATGTGCATTAATAAGAACAATAATGGATCAGTGAAGTGTAATTAAATATAAATTAAATTAAAATAAATTTAATTGTAGTAAAAAAAAGGGGTGTTACCAAATAAAATTCAAAGTTAATTGTCGTTATGATAATATTACCGCTACTACTACTAATCATTACAATTTGATAATGATCATATCATGGTTCATAAAGCTGATAGCTATGTCGAATGAAGAAACAGCAACTTATCATCATTTTTTTTAATTCTTTCAAAAAAAAAAGAATTGTTTATTTTTTTACTTTTTAAATTTCAAATATTCAACTTTCCACGCTTTAATTCGTTCATTTTTGTTAAATTATTCAATATTTGAACAGCATATAATCAATATGATAAAAAGGTAAAACAAGCAAATTTATCATAAAAGTATTCGCCTTAAAAACTGTTTTAATTCAATTTCTCTCTTTTTTTTATTAAAAATCGAAAGTTATTGTGATATATAATGATAACTAACAATTATAATGTGATAAAAAAGTTGTGTGCTTTACAGATATATTATAAAATGTTACTGATATCAGTTAGCTATCATAACAGTTAACAATCACTGTAATCAAGCAATCTTTCATAAACATGCCATAATTATTTAAAATTTTATAAAATTCGTCTAGAAAAAAATTATTGCATTATAAGTAACGACAACCACTAATGCTTGACTACTGTGCCTGTCTCCTTTTAATAGCTTTTATATTTCTTTTTTTTTTAATTTATCGACTTTACCACATTGGCATTAAGTATGCCATTCATTAAATATTTGTCTTTTTTTTTCTTTTAATTTATTAAAGATCCAATTGTATCAAAAATATAACAGTAACAGTGATGAAATTTTTTTAACGAACAAAATAATTTGTTACAGAAGAAAAAAGTAAGACAAGAAATTTTTGGCACATCTATTTGATTATATTTCAGTAATTGATGAAATCATTTATTTGACACACACACACAAAAAAAAAAGGGAAGAAAATAATAAATATAACTTGTTAAAAATTATCAAAAATAATTGTTATTTTCAATATCAATATTTTTAAATTCCATATATAATTCTCATTATCAATATGAATAATACTTATTTGAATTCATAAAAACGATCATTTTAGGCAATAATCATTGTTAAAATCAAGCTTCTTTCAATATTTCCGAAGATTATCGGAAATCAAAACATTATTATCGTTTTTGAATTACATATTTTCTTTTACATTTTCTCCTTGTTTGATTATGATTTCTAATATTTAAAGGAAAGAACAGACAAGAAGAGGACGAGAGAGATGGGGAGAGAAAGAGAGAGAAAGAGAGAGAGGGGGTTGAAAAAAGTGTCAAATTATTAAATTGAAGGAAAAAAAAAAGAGAAAATACGAAAATGTTTGATGAATAAAATGATAATGATTAATAAAATGTTGAATTATTAGCATCTATTATCTAAATGATAAATGCCCGTTTATTGTTTAAATATGATTTTTTCTTTTCTGTTACATCTGTAAAACATGATAGCAATTGTCACATCAATAATTGCATTTATTACAAGTCTGTGCTTTTTTTTTCTTTTTTTTTTTGCATAAACTTATGTCAAAAGAATACATCAATAAATCGTATCATAAAATATCATATTAGATGATTGTATCATAAATATTAGATATTGTAATAATGATAGGAAGGTGATAATTGTTTGTACAGTTATATGAAAACATGATTTAACATAATACATAATGATGGAATATGTGTAAATTTGGTATAAATTAAAATTTTTATGTCGAATTTTAAACGATAAACGATTATCATGAAATTTCTATTAATTAGAAATTTAATATATATATTAGACACAAATAAAGAAAAAAATTTATATGTGCACAAAGTTTGGAACCTATTGTTAATTTGATAAATTTATTACAAAAAAAAAGGGAAGGATTGTTGAGGAAGGAGAAGCTGCAAAATATTAAATCGATTTAGTAAATCATTCAAATATTAGCATATATTTGTGATCTTGCAGATTTTTAGTTAGACATATTTGCTTATCATTGATCACAGATCGCAAGCAAAGATTTTAAATAAAGCGATAAATAATTAAAGCATATGCAAATAAAAAAGATTACTAATCAAATATTTGAACTTTTTCTTTTTTTTTTTTCGCGTAAATAAAAAAATTGATGGATTGTGCATGCATCTGAAAAATATTTTACTTATTAATCAACAGAATTTCTGCTTGATTCATCACAAAATATTGATGGAAGTGTTTACGAAACTGATGACTTGCTACTTTTGACATCTGACGTAAGAATGTCAACCTTTTAAGTGGATATTTTATGTAAATCAAGGCTGCTGTGACATCAGCAGCAGTAGCTTATTTCACTGGAGCAATATATCTTATCTTCCGGTGAATATCATTTCAGATTTTTTTTTCATATATTCACCTTTTTGTCATTAAATTATTTCAATGAGATAATAAATAATAAAAAAGAAAAAAGAAGAACCATCTAGAAGATTGTAAATGCCAGTACAAAAAAGAAAAGAAAAAAAAGAAAAATGGAAAAATTTCATGAGACAAACTTATCTAATTTTAAATGAAACTCTTTAAACAATTCCATCGATTACTTCTCAACTTTCATCATCTAAACAGCAAAGCACTTTCTTTTCAAGGAAAGACATTTACTTGTCTCTTATTCAGTTTTCTTCAAAACAATATTGAAGAAAAAAAAGAAAAAAAACTAACAAGAAATAAAAAACATAACAGTGACTCAGCTTTAGAATGGAACTTCCTCCATAAAGAAAGTTATGACGCTTATTCCATTTTTGACACCAAACGAAGAATGATTTCAGCTATTTTTCTTTTTCTTTCGTTTTTTTCATGTTTATCAAATATTTCATATATATCCTGACAATATCCATGAGGAGGAAATGAGCATGAAAATGATAACGAGAGATGGTATTTGTAGCTGGGAAATAGCTAACATTTTCTTTTCCTATAGATATTTTCGAAAAAAATTTTTAAAAAAAAAACCGAAACAGGTTTCTTATTCATTCATTCAAAAAAAAAAAAGAAGAAACAGTGCAAATACAGAAGTTTTTATGAACATATCATTTTTTTCCTTATCTGAATTACGATTCCCTTATCAGTTCTTTTTCTTTCCTCCCCTTCCCCTCCCTCCACCCCTGATACAAATCATTGGGTAACTAATCACTATAAGTTGTAATATTATTCAAGAAGCTTCCGTTAAAAAGTACATTGTAATACAAAATTTCAAACAAAAACTGGATAGTATTGGAGTAGAGTGGAAAAGATTCTTGAGAAAAATATCTTCCGGTTAAGTAAATTGACAGTTGACCTGTTTTAGGTAATCAGTCAATGATATAGTAGCCATGAAAATTTCATCGTCCTTATTGTTGGGCGTCTCTACATGGTATACTAAATCCATCATCACTCTGACGACCAATTAACCAAACAAGCTAACTTCCCCTGACCAAAAGCAATGAATAGACAATCTTGAATCGTTGACTAATACATCCAAATGTTTTGAATCGTTCAAAAATCTGAATAATGTCTGAAAAAATCAATTAATCTTTATTTGCAGAGAGTCTTCGATGGTTGTCGGATTAGTAAACTATCCAACAATCCGCCCGAACATCCTCTTTTTGCTTCTTTAATTTTACTTTCGCTCATCAGCAGACAACATTTGTTTTCATTTACTTTTCTTCCACTTTAATTTCATTCTTCCCTCCACAGCACTGTTCACATGAATAAAACTTTGACAGTCAGTCTTTTTTTTTTCAATTATTCTGTAGTCGTACCGTAACTAATTCAGGCTATCTTTTGAATGATCTGGTATACTTGCAATATTTTCCATCCCAATCTCGATCTCCACAAGAATAATTGTAATCCGGAAGTTCTAATGCGAAAAAAAAAGTGTAGAAATTTCTGTTCATTTGCTCAAGTTCCTGGCATATCTTCAAAAAATTTTATCCAGTCTGGAATCATTTACAGTCCGCTTAAGAATGATTTGCGAGATGGGATTCCTTCAATGTTTTAATAGTTGATCAGAGATGAGTTTCGAAGTCATGATAGACAGGAACGAGATGAAATGAGTCAGTCATTCGCAAATTCTTTTCAGATGCAGTTTTGCCAGAATTTCTTGTTTCGTGTCGACTTCTTTCTGTATTTGTTTTTTTTTCTGTTTTGCTTTGAATTCCCTATAAAGCAATTTCGAACAGTATCCAAATTTTAACTGAGTAGTTTCCAGAATTTGAAAGTTTGTGCAGCTCTAAGTGTCGGGGGCAGTGGGAAAAGTTATGGAGGAAAAGGCCAAGTCTCATGCACACATGGTTACAAGTCGGCAAACCGAATCACAGCCAAGGCTAGCGACGAATGGATTAAACGGTTCGTAGCAACAAGGTACCTATATGAAAATAATATATGACGACGGTACCAAATACACCAAAAGGACAAGAAATCAATAACTCATGTCCTTCACCGAAAACGGAGACTAGTGCATAGACTTAGGCTAAAATAAACGAGTCTCATTTAGCTCATTTCCAAAATGTGTCTTAAAAAAAAAGCAACAGGAAAACTTTGGAACCTAATTCGTATATTTCTCTTAGAAATTTTTAAATCCTTGCAAAATCCAACGACATTCTCACAAAATCCAATGGTCCAATTTCAAAACCAAATTTCGCCATCACTAAATGCTCTCCAAGAACAATCCGAAACCAAGAAAGCTTCCTACAGATAGTCCAAATCGATAGAAACTCTTCAACTGGCAGAACGCTTTAGAAATAATTCGAAAACACGAAGATCCCAAACACAATCCGAAATCAACAACCTATTACCTTTGACAGGATTTAATGCGGTATCACATCAAACGGTCTCGAAGCAAGGAAATCTTATTTGGCTTGTTTCCAAAAGGAGTCTTAGGAAGAATGAGGGAGGAAAAGGAATGCCTTCTGATTGGCTTACGTGGAAGGCGTTGTCATTGTTGGCGGCGAAGTATTCAAAAGGATTCTCTCAGATACGACCGAAATTATCCAAAAATTGTTCTTTCTCTTCCTCTCTCCTCTCGCAGGATTCTTCCAGGGATTCGCTGAATAGCTGAGAGTTTTTTTCCTTGGAAACCAATCATATCCAAATGTGTTGGTGTAGAGGAACGACGGTCGCTAACTGGTAGTGGTTCATTGTGAAATTCCTCCCGCATCATCTTCATCCCTTACCATCCTAAAGTATCGGTTAGCGTTATTTTAATTTTGTTTCCATTCAATGGCTTAAATTTGCAGCATTCGATATGAATAATATCGCATTTAAGTAGGGCAGTTTACATATCCTGGTTGTTGTCTTGATTTTGGTTTATTTTCTAAAAGAAGATTTGAGGAAGGAAAGTAAGGATAGTAGAGCATTTCGGACTTATTCTTGCTAATGCCAAACGTGACAGAGTGCTTCCCGCTGAATATCAGCAAAACTGTTGCTTCTAATCCCTCTTTCTCATCCACGAATATCCGCAAAATATTTTAGACTTTCTTTGGTAGGTTGCATATTGATGAGCTTAAGTTTGTCCTAGGATTTCCTGAGGTGCAGAAAGAGAGAAGAGAAGGAAGAAAAAGGACTGCTGGTCATTGAAATTTCTCAACTACAGTAACCAGCACGTTTGATTCACTGAAATTCCTAAAGTACGCTGACCTCTTTGTGTTATTTGTTGTTCAGTAAATGTAATGTAAAAATAACTAAGAGTCGAAGGTAGGATTGTGCAGGACGAGTGTTGCATAACAGATTACGACCTCATCTGTTTTCCGATATTATTTTTCCATATCCATATTCACACCATCATTTTGGTTTAGATCTTTTTATTTCTCTTTGTTCCATTGTATATGTGATGGGATTTCATATTACGTGAAGGTTGTAATGTTTGAAAGATTTTCGTGGCGCAAAACTTATGATATAAGT